AACACTTTACTACTAAATATACTTTACATAAAAGCGCTTTAACATCGTTTATCGCATTATGTCACATACATAACACAGCAAAGAATCGGAAATGATTTCCTATTTATTTCCTTAAATATCAACCATGCCGGAAAATATCTCTAATTAAAGTTGTAGACTTCAATAAACCCTAATTTTTAAGCGCCATTTTTTCCACGATAAATATGTTTGAGAAAATTCAGCAAGGAGCGATACGTTGAATCGATACGAACCGACATTAACATCGTCCCATGCAAATGAGTGCAGGATCTCACAAAATCCTTTATAATAGTTTCGGAGACTGTAGATAGATCATGACCTCCCTATTGTGCATTTAATTTATATATTTGGTGCGAAGGACGCATAAAACATTGAGGACTGCTGTACCAAAACCTTCTCTATGAAATGAGACCCACGCATAAGCTATAGATGTACAGCTGTTATAGCTTACATGTGGCTTGTAAAAAACAAACCACTCACTTCGACCTGATATGCAACGATCATTCAGAACAAGTGGTTTGTTAACATAGAAACTGACGTCACACACTCTCATCTCTGCGACGCTATATGTCCATTTCTCTCTACATCCGTCGTACAGGGCTCTAACTGAGATTATGGAACGTAGTAGTGTAACAATATCAGCACTATCTGGACATCAACATCTGATAAGTCTTCGTAAACATAATCACCGCAAAGATTATCATAATCGTCAACATCACGAATTAAGGTCTCGGTATTATCCAAATGTTCTAGACATTTAATAGATTTGATGTATATTATTCCCAGTAACTGTCAGACACCGTGCCCTCTGCACCGCTCTGAGGAAACTAATTTCTAGCATTATATTTCGCCATTATCCCTTCCCCTCAGCTAACGTCTGCATTTGAATCCATATAAAAGATCAGGTATGCAAACACCGCTTACAAACGCTATCCCCTTTTTAATATTGAATATTAAATTATGCGTTTTCCAGTAAGACAGCAATTCCTAAGAACACAAATACCTCATAAAACGAGATACGTCTCTACAAATTTAAATTAACAAAACCAGTAATCTCTTAGCAAGAAAAAGATATAATTGGTTTCTCGTAACACCATTACTGATCACCATGGATACCAGACAGCGGACATAAGTGTGTCAACATGCTACACTCATTAATTAAAACAACACAGTGTTACGTCATCGAGTCAGAGAATGAAACCTCTGCTTGTGTAAAACAAACATAATGACATTATCTTTATTGAAACAATAAAGCAAGCTTCAAATGACAACCTCTCTTTACTGAATTATGTCACCCTTTTAACTCATATTTAAATACGCGACAACGAGAAACATTTTAGCTGCATTCTTTCCAAATCTCTAATCAGAAACCATCCTAAACGTAAATTTATGTCCATAACTCATGTTCAAACAAAAATCTATATTTTATGCTGAAGATATAGATCTAGTACTACAAAACAGAGTAATATATGTACCTTTTCCTCATATAAATTAAACTGGCCCAAGTTTATTATAATACCTAAAATAACTACTTATATGAAAACAACCTTGAAAAATGGATATGAAAGCTTGTTTGTGGCAAAGCGTGAAATTCTGACCTTCTACAAAACTGAAAATTGATACACTTTCCGTGTGACTGAAATATAAAATCAGTTTTAAAAATATTAGATACAGTATTCACTTTCATCATTAAATTCAGCTCTGAACCACATAAATAACCAAACCTTCACACTCACACAGGGTTTAAAAGATACGCCAAAGTCCAGTTGACCAATTAAAAATAAATTCGCCACAGCAAAGCCTACGAAAAGAAAACTTTTCTTGTGACTGTACATAAAAGTTCTTAAAGCAGATGTACTATTAAAGCCGTCCCAGAATGCGCAGAAATATCTTTAAACTACGAGAAAGAAATAAGCAGAAGGACGGAGAAAATCACAAAACGAAGTGCTACATAAAACGTAAACTTCTTCAAATATTAACATTAAAATGGATATTAAAGAAGCAGGCAGTGAAGGCGTAGAATGAATTCAACTGATTCGGAAAAACTATCATCGGTTTGTCCTCTTGGACACTGCAATGGTTCTTCGGGTTCCATGAACGGCGTTGTAGTTTTCGTCGTCAGATTCACTTGAAATCACTCATCTTACAGAATAATTGCATAATACTGTTCTCAACTCGTTCCCCAATTCGCTAAATAAACTATTCTCGTTAGTAGTAGAACCGTATATCTCAAACCAAGTACATCCTACATTGTACACAGGCCCACTGGAGAATACAGTTTAGCTCATAAATACTGCAGCCTGGCAACCACACTTCATTTGTCTTACTTTTGGATATGGAAACAGCACATTACCATCGCTAAGGATGGCCACAATAAAACGTGTCTACACGGACTGCGAGCAACTCCCTCCAGTTTCCTAACCCTAATTGCCTGCCCACGTGCATTAGCCACCGTTCCAGTCCCGGAAGTTCGTTGAAGGAAGCAAGCGAAGAGTTTGCTAAAGACGGGGATGTGGGAGATAAAATGGGAGACGAATACGACCTCCCAGGATCGATGTTAGAATAAGAGATGGGGCCTAATACGCAGTCAACTTTGTACGAGACAGTCCATTCCAGACGCGGGTGGGAAAAACTGTCATATTGAACACGTGCAGATTCAATTATAGACGTAGGAGGACCTAACTTGAGGACCCGTTGCGAATCGTAAAATGTAAACTGTCTTCCATGATTAAGTAAGATTTGAGGTTTTCACATCGGTGAGTCTAAAGATTGTTGTGATTCATCGCCCTGATGACGGAGGCAGTATGACGTCTGAAACGTTGGTGGGAATCTACCAGACTACACGATGCAATAACCCAGAAGATAGCAATCTTCCATGATTAAGTTTTTTCATATAATATTAAAATAATACCGACACTTCTTAGACCGGAGTTGGCACATCACAAGAACTTCATAAATATAATTCAACAGGCAGAAATCGATTAAAACCAGCGATTCCATTTTTGTAACAGTTTAAGAGTACGCAAGTCTTCGAAAACTTTAAAAGAACCGCCTTGTATTTGTACGATACGCAGAGTTTGATATAATTATAAAGTTAAAATTCAGACACACGTATTACACAACCAGGAATTTAAATCGATCGATTTTTTTTTTCGTGTAAACCCTGAATACTAAATTTAATCTAAATCAGTTTAATAGTTTTGAAGGCAGATATAAAAGATGGGTTGATACAAAAAAATCGACGCGCTCTTCAGCACTTTTGAACACTACGTGGGACGCTCGCCTGACAGCTTCTACAAAACGTTTAAGAATATTTCACATGTTCAAGAAAAACTGACAAAGTGCCACGTTTTACCTTCCCAAACTTAATTTAAATTTCATTATTCACCGGATACGCCTATCATTTACAAACTAAGGTTTAACCCACCGCAGAGACAAGTAGTAGTTGGCCTGTTATTAAAATCTCTTCCTGGGCCTGGATTAAGTGTGTTACAGCAGCGTCATAACGGCGGTCGGAGGGCTACGAAGCTGGCGTCAGCTGCCCTTGGTTCTTCGTTTTAGAAAGGCAGGATGATTCCTATATATGGACTGAAAAGAATGTCGAGGGATATGACCGTGACCTAGCGAACTCTTTAAAAGGTAGTTGCAACGGCAGTAACCTCAAGGAAAATTGTTACAAGGCAATGGATTCTGCGTTGCCGTCCGACAGTAGTCCCCTCCTGCCATCTACCGGAGACTGCAGAACTTATTCATTCCTGCCTGCCCTTCAGCGGCACACATCTTGCCACGAAAAATTCTGGTACAATGGCAAACAGGCTGCCATTATAAAATGTTTCATGAAAAAATATTTTCAAACGCAATTTCTGCAAAGTCTGACAAAATGGGCCCCAAAAAATAAAAAAAAAAACTATTTTATTTTCTCTTTTTAGTTATCACTGTAGTTTAAAGAGCAGCTGAAACCTGAAGATGGAGGCGATATGTTCCCCCGAAACGTTCAGTCATCTCTGTCTTATATAGGGCAGTACTTGCTGAAGATGTAGGCTGTATGTTACTCCGAAACTCTCAGTTGTCTCTATCTCATAAAGGGCAACATTTGTTTCTAGTTTCTGAGAATGGAGGCAGAGTGTTCCTCGAAAACGTTCAGTTCTCTCTGTCTCGTGAACGGCAGAATTTGCCAATAGTTGCTGATGATGGAAGCATGTTCATTTGAAGCGCACCTACGAAAAAAATTCTCACGTCGTTAAAATCCAGAAGACCGACATCGACAGCACTTCTGTTGGCTATACTTTGTCCCATCCTGCAGACCTTACTAAAAGCGCCAAGTATGACGAACCGCAAGGCAAGCCACCTAGCGAATAGTGATCAAAGTATTTAGTCTGCAACACAAATCCCGCTAGCTCATTGGGAACACGTCATCTGAACGGTAATGTCTAATTTACACGCCACGAATTATAAGGAATATTGATATACCAAACAAATAAGGGCTTCGTAGAGACATCTTAATCAATAGGCAGATAATATAGAGCCTATTGCTTGGGTGTAATAATTATAGTGGATGTAGCATAATGAAAATGGCTTATGCACATTCCACGGTCGGTGACCTTGAAATTAATTTTAACGAATATCAACAAATCATGGATGATTTTTGCACCCATACATTACCCGTTCTTGTTTTACTGTGTTCAGAACACGCACTGCTAGTTACTTCGCAGGCCGTAGTAAGTACAGAAAGTAGTTCCCTAACCCGCAGGCCGCATTGTTTGAATGTCATGGGAGAGTGCTCGAAGGCCGAGCAGGAAGTTTGTCTGTAGCTTCCAAATGGCCACTCTGAACACTCCGCAAACCGAAACGACACAATGCAACATTCATTCCGGCAACTAACTAACTGCATGCAACGAAGTTGTTCTTAAGGATATAATAGTCGCTCTGCCAGTCTCTAAATTAAACTTTAACGGAAATCGAAGATTCATAACCGTACTTACAACAGTCTGCCACTGAATCCTGTCCTGAACCAGATGACTCCAATGAACATCCTCACAGTCTGTTGCCTTGACTTGACCGCCAAACAGCACCTAATGAACAGCAGAAATTATAAATCTCATATTATGCTAACAGTTTCTTTAACAAACGCTTACATTTCATATCAATCATAATCATTCATAATAGGTCTGATCATTTGATACGCAATGTTGAATGAAGTAACATCTTTCGTTTTTCCTAAAACCAACATCTTCATCAGGACGAGAAACGAGGGCAGCTCCTGCAGTCTGTCTGCCAAAACAAATAATTTCTTCTTCGTTCCGTAACAGAGAGTTTAACAAATTTAATATACCTTAAAATAATTATTATATTTGTTTTTATTATATCTATTATTATATTTTTCTGTTGTGTGGCAATATATTAGACCTACATTATAACCTATCACATCATAGCCCATCGAATGGTAATATGAATAGCATCCTAAGAAATACAGGCTATTTGAACTTAGCCCTACAAATGTAGCAGGAGGATCGAGAAAATTTCATAATTTGTACTCTGCACGAAATATTACTAGAATCAAACCAAGGAGTGCCGGCAAAGCGAGCATATATTACGCGTGGGAGTGACGTACAGACTCATAAAACACTTTTGTCCAAGAATCTGAAGGAATTTACTTTAATAATATATCTATTATATATGAGTTCCTGGGAAATTTTTGTTTATTCCTCCCGAAGTGGGAAAAGAACAATGCATTTGTAGCGAACGTAAGAAGGAATGTTGCAGAAATAATGATCGCTCAGTTAAGGATTACAGAAATGCCGTCACGCTCCTCACTGTTACGTGAATGATCCTGAATAATGGAGATATCACTCGTCAGACTCGTTCTCCGCCACGAATACGTGCCGACCAATCAAAATCAGTCCCAATAAGTGAATCTGTATTCAGATACATGAAGAACTCCTACACGCAGGAATCGCAGATTCACACACGTCCCCATGTTCCTGACTCCAGTGGGACAATCAGAAAACCATAGTCAATAAATGTACTGTGGGCACTAGCGTTTGGTCTAATCCATAGTTACTTTACGAAACTGTACGAACTGCAGAGGTTATACGTCGAATAATGTCACAGTAGACAACTTCGAGTGTCTGTCGTCTACAACAGTACATAAAGAATCAACATATCGGTCATGGTCAGGAGTTTTGAGTTACTGCGCAATACGAACAATAGACAGTCACCGTTTTCGGATCATCGGTGGTCACCTGTCTGTATGGCGGCCACCTGCCCCGCGATCACCACCTGCCATGGCACCGGAGTCTCCGTCAAGTGGAACACACCTGTCATCGGAAGCGCTGTCACTTTCAAGCACAAACCCACGACAATTCTCCGTCGTCTCGTTACATACGAACCCAAGAACCAATTTCCGAAACAATGCGAAATGATCGGCACAATGACGTAATGTTTCAACAATTGCCTCGAACCTCGGAAAATTGGTTTTGGTGTCACGTGAAACCATCTAGCCCAGTGGTATTCAACCTTTTTTGTTCGCGTACCCCCAGATATAATTTCTCTACAATTTTGTACCCCCAAAGTTGTTGGTGTATAATTCAAGTTATACATAGTATATAATCTACATCTAAAATAAATTACATTACTGATTATTTAGTGTTTATCATAAAATAATATATATTTTGTTAAATTTCACGTACCCCCTAAGATGTCTTCGCGTACCCCAGGTTGAATACCACTGATCTAGCCAATATACTGTGAAAATTCGATGAATGAATAGTGTTATAATGTACATATCACACGTAATAGCTGAGCATTTTAGCTATCCATCTAGGATACATAAGCAAAACAAGCGAAGTATATCCGCCACAAAAACTGAAAACAAGAGTGATCCAAGTGCGCGGTACATCCGTTTCCTATTCCGCGAGGTTCCCACGAGCACGTAGTCAGCAGGGAAAGCAAATTCCCAGGCAAGGGGACCAGTTTCCCACACAACAGCCTATTGTTTTCAGTTGTTGACACTGAACTTCATTTGTACCTGAGGTGATGCTTCTGCAAGAACAACGCGACACACCGTACGTGACTTGACAGTCTCACACAACAGTCTCAAATGAAAGGCTGGCTGCTTGTTTAAAAACACCAATTCAAATTTTAAATTTGTGCCCCTGAGACTTTCAACAAACAGGCTGATAACAAACAAAACACCTCAGCGATGCTCTTGGAAAAGCTGGCTGAACCTCACATAAGCAAAACAGTAACATCGGCTTTAAAAGAATGTACCTTTATAAACAGGTCACGTTAGAACATTTATAAATAACCAAATTCTGGTTGCCTTAGAAGAATGCGCCGCGTAATTTGGTTTTTACTGTGAGGCCCACTACATGATGCACATGTTAAGTACCAGTACCTCACCGAGAAGCTTCTAGTACGCTCAGCCAGTCACGAAATGCCCCGCCTTTTATGGAACAAGAACACCATTACCGCGTTCCCAAGACCACGCCACCGGTCCTTATGCTCAGTAACATAATTCTAGTCCACATTTGCGAAAATAAACAAGCATATAGTCTAGTTATGTATAAAATGGTACAGAAAAGAGAGAAAAATGTACAGATAAAGCCTACGACATAACGTAATAGTAGTAAAGTTTGTCCCACTGTACGCCATGTAGGCGTTTGGGGTGAGAGGAGGTATAGCTCCTCTCTTCCTTGACCTCGGCACTAGATGGGGGTGAGTGGTCAGCATCACGCCCTGGCCGGCTTTACCCCCGGGAAAGGACCCCGGTACCTATTGTAGATGAGGCTGGGTGGGCCCCAGAGCCGGTTTGGACGCAGAGGCTAGAGGAAAAATCCTCTGCCCCCGTCGGGGATCGAACCCCAGTCGTCCAGCCCGTAGCTACTGACTGAGCTATCCCAGCTCATACGACATAACGTAGGAATATTAATTTAATTCAACTCATTTATTAGAGTCTTTGCCAACAGCATGGATTCAGTGACAGATACTGTATTTTACTATTGGATATTAGAATTTCACTTATATTTTATCTTTTTGGATCTTGCTGTGTTTTATTTGCCTGTAATTTGCTATCATGCTACTGTCAAACATTAATTCTGTTTAATTACGAAAATTGTATTTTTATACGTTCGACATTAACAATATAATGTTTATTTGTCTTCGTTTAGTTCTGTTTTAGCTTGTTTCTGTTTGTGCATGTATTTATCAGTGTTTTCCTGTGAAAGACGTCAATGCTCCTACAGACTGCATTGACAGCAGAAACACATCTGACTGAAGGACTGACCTTGAAACGACGATGCACACAGAACGAAGTGCAGTCTTCCATGGACCTAGAGGGAAAGCACAAGGTGATTGATTCCGAAATGGATGGTCAACAAATAACAATATCCCGTCCGGGAAAATACATTTTAAGAACCGAGTAGGAGACATTGTGATATCTAGAGTTTCTTCCCAGAAGGTGGCCCCTGCGTTGGGTCTCTGCCAATATCCTTTTCCCACGCAACTTGATGCACCCCCTTCTTACCGATTCTGTGCACAGCATTTGTGTATTGGTGGTGGGTGATACATACATAAGATGGTGGAGTACACACCCTGCCTCATATTCGAGTACCCCATAGTCCCTGGCTCCCGACCCGGCCAATGACTACAGGAATGGTGCTGAAGCAAACGGAAATTAAATACATGAATTGAGAGATGATAAATATATTTGGGGAATTCGGAACAATATGATACTTACAGCTTTTCTTTTCTTCGGAATTATATTAGCGATCTGCGTGTTTCAGTGCGAACGTCACGCTTACAGACACTCGTCAAAGCCCTCTTAAACACTCGCCTCCGACGTCAATATCACACAAGAATTACTTGGTGACATTTCAGGTTCTTATGGTTGCGAGTATGAAGATAACTGTCTTCTGTCATCTCGCGCCGTGTTATCTGATAGTCTAGTGGAAACTGGCGGACGTTTCAGACATGCTTACTGCCTGCCTCATCAGACCGATGAATAGGCCTTGATGTAAGCACCTATAAAACGTCGGTCAGTTTCTCCTAGACTGCACTGCGTAACATCCCAGAAGACAGAAATCTTCAGACTCTTCATTGTTACGTGGTTACTGAATGCTGATAATTCAACTACTTTCTGAGCCTATTAAAAAAAAAAGGCAGACGAATCCTGTGCCGAGACGTGGAGACAAAGAAACGGGCTCGCACTGAGCCTTCCTTGCGACTGACACCTCTTCCCGTCACGCCGTTATGCCCCTAGGCCGAGATGAATCCGGTGTGACGTCGCGGTGAACAGGCAGATTAACAATTAGACCTTGTGAGACTGTGTACTGAAGCAAAAACAACACATTCTGGTCTTCTTACGGTTAAACTAGCTACAGGATGGCGGAGAAGTAATTCACATGACACTGACAGTTACACATAATGCAACATTTGAATGGAAATGTTGAAGCATTTTACGTTTAGAAACAAAACTAGTTGGATGAACGGTTGGGGAATGGATACATTCGTAGTCTGGAGGATGAGAGACCCTGAATGATAAGTGTTTAAAAACGAAATGGTGGGTTTACTAATGGATAAAAAGATGATTATGTTCTTCGAGGCTGAAAATGGAGAAAGTGTTTCTCAAAACGTTGGACCCTAGCGCCCAAATCTGTTTTCATTTCTTGTTGTTTCCACTCTAAATGTAACAAACGACAACAACGTGGTTTTTGTTCTAAACCCCTTAGCCAAAGCAGCCGGGACAGCCCCAAACTCCAGGTCTGCCTGCATAACGTATGGCGTCTGGCGCAAGCCGTCTGAAGAAAAATACTACTACTCTGCATTAGGCTTTAATAAGAACTCGTATTTAGTGGTCTTCCGGTCGGAAGTCGGACACGAGGTAGCCTGAAGAAATGCCTCCATACATGTTGGGGCGGGCTGAACAAACACACACAGGAGTGGGGAGAAATGGGTTTACGAGCACGTGCCACTCCAGTCCCATCTGCCT